AGCGCGCTCGGAACCGCAGGGCTGCTCCCGAACCTCGGACCGCGCTCCCTGAAAACTCCCAGGGGGCCTGGGTCCCAGGAGAGCCTAAAAGCAGTTTCTGCTAAACCCTCAGAACCGGGGTTCAGACACGTAGGATCAGAAGTGAGCTGCTGTGGGCATTTTAGTCTCGGTGTTCTGTAACTTTGGCATTTTTTTTAACAAGTCCAAATTCAGCAGTTTCCATAGTTTCTGTCAGTTCTAAATTAGAAAAATATCTGAAGTTACCTTTCTGCTTGCGGACTGTGATTTGCAGTTTGTCAAATTATGTGAAAGTACTGTATTGCTTACAGGCCCAAATGACATGTTATTAATGCCCTTTGACTTCGTCATCTCACGATGAAAATATGCCGGAATGCGGAAACTTCAGCTTAAGTCATAAATAAAAAAATGACCAGTTTCAAGATTTTTAAAGAGAACCTATCTCCTCATTTTGAGGGGCTCTTCTCATATTTACGAGGAGAGGTTTATCCAGACGCGCCCTGTCCTGCTCCAGAAATGCAGATATCATTTGTATGTTGTTGCGTAAAATGACACTAAAGGTAAATATTCCAAACCACATGAAGGAATTTGTGGAACAAGGATGACATTTAAAATATTAGTAAAATTACTCATTTAAAAAGAATAAAAAAGAATGTCTTGCTCCTTTAAAATCTGCCATTCCGAAGTTAAATTCCTTCTTTAGTGATCATCCAATGATGCAGGAAATACTGTGTCAGATAAGCAATGATATGTGTATTATGCCCTTTAAGAGAAAAAAAAAAAAAAAGCGACAAAGCTTCCCCACTAACGAATCGGTAATCTAAGGACTTGGTCATGGATTTGAGTTTCTGCTTACCCAGTGCTTTCTACTGCAGCGGTCTCGGCAAGAAGAGGTAACGTAACACGTTGGTGTATGAACTGAAAGGCAAAGAAGCATATGGGAATGGCTTACTGTTCAGTTTAGATAACACAAAGTGGGGACTGTTGAATTTTATCTTTTGGCCCTTCGTTGACCAAAGTTCCCATCCTTAATTATTAGAACTTCTAAAGATCTTCCAGTCTACCCTTTCATTTAAACCTCTTCCTTCGTGTAGTATACAGGACTCCCTCCTCAGCTTCCAAATTCTTGTGAAAACCCACTTGGTCTTGAGACGCCTACGCTTTTCGCTATACACATACTTCGTGCGGTTGCCTCTGACAGTCACATTGCATGTCAAAGAGTAGGTATTGCGATCTGTGTTCCTGTAGGTCTGCCATTTTGTATTGGCACTTAGGAAAAAAGTCAATTAAAAGCAGCAATTACTCCCGAACTTTTTTTTTCTTTTCAGATTTTGATACAAAATCCGTTGATGAACTTTTGCTTTGCTGTATACTGCTTATCTCGTTTTAGTCTGCAGTTACAGCCAACATTTTAAACCAGAAAGAATAAGACAAGAGGTACTTTAGTCTTTTAAAAGAGCCAGTTTTAAAATAGGGAGTGGTCCTTTACCTGTACAATTGCAGTAAAGGTAAATTAAGCAGCCTTACGTAGAAATTACTATCACCTGTCTTTTGGGCATGAGTTACTCTGAGCATAACAATTTTGCAAACTATGCCTGTAGATTAAATGTGACCCTAATTAATTTAAAGCCCAGACCAGGAGAAGTTATTGGTTTTCTTGATAGTAAATGAAATCTTTTCAATCACATTATATTTTTTTTTCAAGAGACAGAAATGATAAAAGAGCACAACTTGTTCCAGTAATCACATAGACCTGCTTCTATCCCCGACAGAGATTTCTTTCATAGTTTTGGTGAAGTCACTTATGTCTTTTACACCTTACTTTCCTCAAATAGATTTGGATTGCTAGCGTTGCTGTGATTTTAGTATTCTCTATGTTTTACATACTTTTTTAAGATTGGTGTTTCACTATCTGATATAAAGAAGAACTTAAGAGCTAACAGGCAGGAAAGCTATTGCCATTTAAAAATTTTCTCCCTTTGCGTTGGATTTACAGTACTACTCTTATTTTTAAAAAAAAAGTTTGCGGTTTCATTAGAGCTATGAATTAAGAGTACTCCTTTTTCATCAACATTTGCAGATCTTTTCTCCTATGGGGGAGATACTTTAGCTCTGCCATTTGCTGATTCATGTATGCCTATGTGATGCAGGATTCTCTGCCAAAGTTTTAAGAGTTTCTTGGAACTCCAGTCTTGTGACAGTATTACTTAACAGTGGACTGGAAAGCAAACACTTCCTCTCTTGAGAATTCCAGGAAAAAGGAGGAAAAGAAGAATTTTTTTCATGCTGGAGCAGTTTGCTCTTCTTTTTCCTGAGCAGCAGCAGCAGCAAAGGCACTTGTGTTCTTTTCAAAAAAATTATTACTATGCTCAGTCACATTTTGTCTGTTCGCAAAATGTGAAAAGCTTAGCTCTTGAGTAATAGTTTTCTTGAGCATTTATGAGAAATTCGTCTTTCAAGTATGTCCTTTATTACTAGATGTGCAGTAACTGCCTCAGAGAAGGTCAAAAAAGAGTTTCCATTCTAATCTTCTATTTTCACTGACAATGTTCTTATCCCTTAACCTCTAAGATTGAAATTTTCCATGTTTAATCTTTAGAAGCTTGTTTTAAAGAATAGTCAGTCACGCATGTGAGAATGGAACCAATGTAGTATCATTAAACATGGCTTTTCTGACAAGCGCAGAAACTTGGATTATGAGGTAATTGCCTTGGAGCTGGATCTGACATACTGAAGTAAAGATTGATCATAAGGGAAGTGCTAGTATTTCTAAATATATTGGGGAAAAAAGAAAGAATCTGTTGCTACATTTCATAATAGTTTGATTTATGTAGATATATTTGTCAATAAAAGGTGTGGTCATCTTTATAAAAAAAGTGATTTTTCTGTCCCTTACTCAACTGAGAAAGAGTCTGGCTGTTGCCTGTCTTGCATTTATTCTATTTGAATATTTGACAACAAATACTCAGCAGCCGTGCTTGAGAATCTTCCCAGTTTTAGAGAGGAGTTCTTTGACAGTATATGCCTTTGGTAGCATGCCTTCGAGGCTGCACATCCTTACATGTATACAGTGCCCACATGCATGCTTCCAAAAGGTCATTAAATTTTTCCTAAGCTAGTCACTTAACAAGTTTATACCGTAGCAGAGTTGCTGATCCCTCGCCAATCCTTTTGTCTTGTGTGCTGGTGAAACTCAAATCTGTTAGAGGCGTCAAAGGTTGTTCTGCTGCTGCAGTTGGAGCAGAGGGTATTGAACCACCATCAACAAATACGTATCAATGGTCTCTTCTGCCAAAACTTCTGCAGAAAGCCCAACACCACTCCTGCTAAAGGAGCTCTTCTGAGAAGTTCTCTCCTCTTTACTCAGTCACACAGAGAAAATCATGAGGTTTTGACGTCAAAACTAACATGCCACCTGGGAACTTTGCAGATGTAAGTAGAGCAACTGCAGCACACAGGTAGTAAGAACACTGTGCCCGGACTCGGAGATTGGAAAATACCAAGAGCATGCGAGGAAGGGACAAAAGGGTTGTGTATTAACAGACAATGTGCTGCTGAACAAGTTTTATCCCTCTTTATACTGAATGCAAAGTTATGGTTATTCCGTATTGGGCACATGACTTTACCTACAGAATTTTAAATGCATCGCATATGTTTCTAGTGATATAAAAGCTGGTAGCCATATCTAATCCAGAATATGATCTTCCACTAAATGTCTATGTTGCGTCAGCAAAAGAATCTTGGGGAAATAAGTTTTTTGAAAGTCTTTAATTATTTCATCTGTTTTCAGTTTCCTTAAGCAGTTTTGCTATGCTTAAAGAATTCTTGTATGTAAAAGCTGCATAATTTTCCTTCTCTGAAGTTGTGCTGGTTATAGCATGATTAGGTATGTGTTTTGCAACTTCTCATTACTTACTGTTTTAATGAGTCTGCATTCTGCTGAAGCAAGGCTCAGAGGTCTTTGCTAAAATCTTTTTCAAGAGGATAGTATTCTTACAGTCTACAGTACTGGTGATAGGACGAGGAAAATGTTGCAGTCATTAGATCAGACACTTCGTTCTTAAATTCTTTCAGTTATCTGAGTAGAATCATAGGACTTTGGTGACATGTTGATTGTCAATGATTTTGGTTTAGTGCTTACCCTTTTAATATCTCCCATACCAGCAGCTTTGCTTTTCTAGTAGCTGAAAAGAGTAGGTCCACTGTCAATGTCAGTCTAGTATCCTCTGTAACTAAAACTTTGCAGAAAAGTCTTCTAGCTCATTTGTATTATTCTTCAACACTTCTCGTTGTTCCATGAGTTGACTTTAGGGGGATCAGGCACTGCAGGGGATCTGAATCCTAACATCTAGCAGAGTGGTACGACCAAGTACACCCTTGCCTTAACTGGGACGCTGATTTAAGCTTGTAATAACGTTTTCTGTTGGCAGAATTTCAGCACAGCTTGTCCTACTGAACCTGGCCAGTGTCGACGATGGCAAGACTCCCAAGTGCTGCACTGCATACCCTGTGGATCCTTTTCTTTTCGTATACAACAAGTGAAGGTAAGTTTGTCAATGTTTTAAATTATTATACTGAAGTTTTTGTCAACAGCATTTTCCCATGGCTAGTAGGCAACACTATTACCATTAATTAACTAATACAAAATGTGTTACTTCAAATGTCAGAAATATCCCTGTACTAGAATAAATTCTTGGATTTTTTTTTTTCTTTTTATTGACCTTTTCCTTATGGGCAAGAAAAAATAGGGATTTGCAGGAGGGAGAAACTGAGGTTTGGAAAGTCATCTCCCTGCTCCCCCATTATGCAATCTCTGTTGGACCCTTGCTTCAAACAAGGTGCTCGGCAATAACCGAGGGACATCTCTAGAAATCCCGTACGAGTAGCAAGCACTTATTTGCTTATTTTCATAACTGCGACTGCTCACCATGTGGGCTACGCTCATGAAATGGAGCATGTAGATCTACTGTTAAAGGGCATCTGTCAGTTTGTGTTCTCCACAGTGTGCAGAGTTACTAAGCTGGAAAAATTAGTTGACTGGATTTGAACAAATTTTGCAGGCACTTGCTGTGAGGCATTACATGCGCTGACTTGTGCCTGTGCAGGGGCAGATGACTGACATGTGATGTCCTATGTGCTCTTTACTACATCATTTTTTTGTTTGTTTGGCAGGGCACGTAGCTGCATTAAGTCTTAATGCTGCTTGTTAGCTAATGGTTATTTTCTGAAGTTCAACTGGCAGGGGCTGAATATGAGAATGGTTTTTTTCCTTGTATCTTTTATGGTATTTGATTATAAAGACAAGTTAGATATATAAAATCATGTTTTCTGACAATGCATTTTTATTCTCTGGAAAATTAATCTTACATTTTGCTTTGTGTCGTTTTTAAGTAGTTCTGCAGTAGTCTACAATTTTTTGGGTGGTTTGGGGTTTTTTTTACGCAAACTAAAATAGTTAAAATAAATTTAAAAATAGCCTGTCTCTAAAAAAGAAGGTTTATTAGCTACTTTCTTATGTACTATGAAATAGTACAATTTGAATTAATGAGAAGGATCAAGGTTTGCGAGACTGTATTGGCTGGGTCATCTGATCTAGATAATCCCACATTTTCTGTAAATGATCTTTATCAAGGTTTAATTTTACAGATTTGGGGTTTTTTTGCCCCCCTAGTTAAGTACATGTTTTAAGTTTCTTCAGCATGGTATTCTGGTTGAGGATTAAAAAAGAAATCCAGTATTTCAGTTCCCTTTTTAAACTACACAAACTGAAAACAAACTCTGTACTGTATGTGGTTTCAAAAGGAAATTCTCAAATATCTGGGGTTTAAAAAAAAAAAAAATGGTGTACCAGAGATGGAGAAGGGAGAAGGTCACAGGAAAAGAATACAGAAGATAATTTAGAGTTCTGGAAAGACATGAGGACACTGAAAAGCGAGATAAAGTAAAGCTGCTAATCATCATAGCTTAACACAGTAGGAAGAGCTTCATTTAATTGACGTATTCTTGAAAGTGTAAGATCATTAACACATTGAAAAATAATGATGTTCATCTTTAAAGGGCTTAAAATGTTAGTACTTCTTTTAAAAGTGCATCTTGAAGTGGAAAAAAAAAGAAACCAACAATACAAATATAAATGGCAGCAAAATATAAACAGCAGCAACAGGATAAATAGATAATGGTTCTTTTAAAATAAATGAGCAGTGTGACTGCTACAGTGTTGCAGAATTTTAATCTTTAACTTGCTGCTCTTCTGGTGATCTTGAGTTTTTTTGAAGAATCGGGGACCATGCAGAACAAAAGGGATCTAAATGTGGTGCTGCCATCCAGAAAGGATATGGGTGATACTTCTTATCTACAAGATAAATACCTAGCCTTAGTAACTAAAACAAAACACATCATCTTCTAAATATTTGAATGCTAGTGAAACCCTGAGCTGCAGTCAGGCCTAGGTTTATAACCAGTCAATACACCAGACGTTTTAGATTATGATTTTTATAGAACCGTTCAATGGTTCCCTGTCACTGCCATGCATCCTCATTTGCGTACGTGAGCCTCACCGAGTTTATTGAGCTTACTCAAGTGATCCAGGACTGCCTGGTAGTCAAGTTTTGTGGGAGGCCTTTCTAAAAGGCAAGTGAAAGTGATGCGTGGATTTTAATGAGGGTGAAAGACCATACACTGACAGTACTAAAGAATTAAGTGTTTCATTGAGTCAGGTTTTTACTGAAGTACCAGAGGGTCCTGGTGGTAGATCCCGTTTTACGTAATGTGTCGTGTCCCCTAAAAGGCATCTGACCATCATGTTTGTTACATTTGCAGATACTGTACTGTATCAGAGTATGCAGAAGTTATATCAGAATAAATAACACAAGTGGACTACAGAAAAGTAGGAATGTAGGAAGGATAAAATGAAATTGGGTATTTCTGATGACAGAAGTTTTTGCTTGGGAGGAATAATCTGAAATTTAGGTACCCACTGGAAAGAACAAGCCTGTGAAGCAGCAGTGGCTGAAGGACAAGGACCTTACAGGATGTGAACTGTTGGCAACCTAATCTTGAATTTGCAATGTAAATTACAAGAATGGAAAGTTAGTAACGTGCTGGGCCATGTAAACAAAATTATTTATGTACTATAAAGAAATGAAATCATGTCTTTATATGGCCCTTGTATAATTGCCACAGGAAACCTTCTAGCAGAATCCCTTAGGAAACGATCAGAAAAATATCAATTAATAGGATTCTAAAGACCAGACAAAGCTATTATGAATTTTTATGGGGAACTGAGATGTAAAGCAGGAGAGAAGGATTTAGATCTATACAACTTGTGCAAGAAAAGGGAGATATTGTTAGTAGTTACCAATAACAGAGAAGTCAAGCATCAAAGAAGGCAAAGAATTGTCTGGGATGATAAAAGTATTAGCTATTTCTGACTGCTTCATTTAGAAATGATCACGTTCCAGTACCACATTTGGCACACTGAGTTCCTCCGCTTCTGTTCCTTGTTTCACTCATGTGGACTGCATTGAAATAATGGAAAATGAGGCTGGAAGGGATACTGAGGATTGTGTATTCCATTTGCCTTTCCAGTTCTAACAAAGATATTTTGACTAAGGTTTTCTATTTTTTTTCTTATATACTGCCAGTGAAAGAGATTGTAAGCATGAATATTGGGAGCGCGGAGACTTTGGGCTTCTCTGTACCTTCTCAATGCCTGTAACAATGTGACTCTAAATCTCCCCAGGTCTCTGAACACTATCATAACAATGAAAAGTAGAAGACAGAACAGGAAATACTGAGTGAAATTAAGAAAAGGTGTATACTAGAAGAAAGCCTGTGACAGGAGGATCTTATAGGCAATGGGGAACTGCTCTGGGGAGGCAGAGCGCATGTATTTGGGAAGCTTAGAACCGTTGTAGATGAAGTACAAGGACATGCCTATAGGCAGTGATCTTGGTCCAACTCTGTTAATTATCTGCATTTTGGCTTTTGAACCTTTTGTATTTAACACACGGGATGATGCTGGTTTATAACTAAATGTTGATGTGTTGTAGATAGAGCTATCAGAATCAGATTTTCTATGCTTGGAAGACTGTTGGGTGAGCTGTGCCTTCCTATTTCAATATTACTACTGCAGACCTTCCTCTCCAAGACCACAGATGTCTCCAGAAAGGTGGAGACATTTGGTGACACACATCTCTAAAACAATGCTTTAACTTAATTTATAGGGGGTTGGTAGCTCAGTGTAGATGGAAAAGTTAATGTTTCTGCTTAGTCCAATTGATTCTTTTGATTTTCTTACTTCTCATTGTGTGCTGCTTCTCCGTAGTTATGGCTGCAGAGCAGGTACAGGAATTTGCATGCTTCACTGACTTTGACAAAGAGCTGGTTTGTCACTGGAAGGTACCTGCACAAATTAATTGCTCCAAAGAATTTCTGCTGTACTACAGGCAAGAATTTTTTCCGCTGTAAGTGTTTAATAAGATGTTACATTATCATTGTTGGAACTTCATATATCCTGGAGCCGTTACCAGCTTTGATTCCCTCCTTCTACCATGGGTGTCTGGGACAAAATGTAATCCAGATTATTTTTCTTGCCAGGAGGAAAATGGGTTGCTGCAGTTAACAGCATGCTCTGTTCAGTGGTCTACTTTTCTGCAGACCTCGCTGCATTCTTAGTACAGAGGAGAGATTAAGTCCTGCTTATAGGAGTGGTAGGGCTCTCACAAGTTTACCCAACCTTCATTTCATGCAAAATTTTACCTCCTTCAAGGAGAACTCTTACCTGATTTACCAGTTTGTAGTCTGTGTGAAAGGTACTCTCCCCTGGAGCCCAGGTGCTTATCTGCATACAGTCTAACTCCGTGTTCAAGCACAGACTGTTGTCCCTATTCTGCAGCAGGGCCAGTTGTCATCTGCTACAAAGGAAGATGCATCTGGGCTCTCCTGTTCCTCTCCGTATGATTTCTCCACACAGACATCTGAATAACCTCACTTTGTACACTGTAGTAAACCTGTTCCTAAACTAGCAAGCTGCCAGTCTGCTCCTTCAGATGAAGTGTGACAAAGGGTGTTAAATTTTCCTCTCGGGACTAGTCCTCAGCCTTTCTGTCAAGTGTTTCATGTGTGTGATACAGATATCTGGGGGGTGTTTGGGGAGGGCGGGCTGTTTGGGAGTTTGGGGGAGCTCAGTTTTGGTTTGGATTTGTCTGGGCTAAATGTTTCTAGGAGCTGAGCTTGTTTGTCTCAGATTTGATTAGCGCTACACATTGGGAAGCTTGATTTCACCTTTTCAAGAAATAGTGTGCCACACTTTCTAAACATCACATAATTTTCTGCCTGTTTTTCAGAAATCACGTGTGTGTTCCTGAGAATGGAAAAGACAGTTTAAGGTGCACTTGCACAATCAGTCCGCGTTATTTTGTATCAGGCCTCACGTATATTCTAGCTTTACAGTTCAATGGGACAGATATGTGGAATTACAGCGTTACACCAGCCATGGTTGGTAAGAAACCATTTACTTTGTCACCAGAACATCTGGTTCCAGGCTTTGCAATCCTAGCTGACTCCTCATTCAGTTTTTCCTTATCAGAGGTGAAAAGTGCCATGCTGGCTTAAATGCAAAATCCATTCGGCTTAGAAACCTGATTCTGGAGTAGATTCTTAAGGAAAGAGTATAAGTAATGAGGCAAGCACAGAGTGATTCTTCCTCTAGCTGTACCCTCTCAGCTGCCAGCCAGCAGCAGTTTGGGGGCTTAGGCGTGTCTTCAGTGCATTTTACTTGTGGCTGCAGAATTCAAGGATGAAGGGGAATGTGCTACTTCCAGTTTCTAGAAAGGCATTAGGCTATCCCTACTGAAACTTATTCCATTCCTGTCTCTGTCATACTCTGATTTTTCATGCTAGTTGAATCATCCTTCTGAACAGAGATTTTTTACAGTAATTGCTGTTGGATTATAACAACCAGTGATAAAAAGTTAATGACTCTGCTCTTTCACAGGACAGAGCATAGATGCAGTTTATGTCTCTCTAAAGGCACCTAGTTTGCTTAGAACAGTGTGCTTTTTCGTAACACTCGTCACCTCAAACCCTCAGAGAAATCATTCACATACCTTAGGCAGGCATTCATCTGCATCAATGAGCTGGTTCTCTTCAGAGTACTTGATTGTCACTGCTGCTTATCAGCAGAGTGATCGGGAGCCTGCATCGGCTTCCAAGAGACAGGTAGCCAGGACAGCCTGGCTGCGAAGTTGTCAGAAGCAATGTGCCTACCCCACAGCACAGCATGCTATTGTGAGGGCACAGGTTGTTCCCATTTTTCCAGGCTGAAAGCTGCATCCAGTGCACCAAAAGGTTGCCAGCTTGAAGATTTAGTGCTTGTTAATGAATACCTTGCACTTGCTCTGTTTTGGCCTCTATATCCTTGTGCTGCAGCATAGCGAAAAGGGCTAAAGGCATTGACTGTGATGAGATTCTGGTCTCTGGTGAATGTTTCTCTCTCTGCTTCTCTCCATCAGTGTTTTCCCATTGCCATGTTCTCCTTAACTGTATTTTTTTTTAACATACAGTTAAGCCAAGAGCCCCCAAAAATCTTGCTGTTGAGAAAGTTGAAAATGGTAATTTCAATCTGAGCTGGGAGGAGAGCTACTCTCCTAAATCCATGCTCTCTGGACGTCCGGTCATCTACGAAGTGAAATACTGGAGGAAGCAGCACCCAACAGAGGTAAGAGACAGCCAGTCTCTTCATTTTCTGTCTCTCCGGAGCTTTCAGGTTTAAAAAGTCTTCTGAAAAGTCTGGAAACCATTTCATGAATAATGGTGTAAGGGCCAGCAAGGGCAAGTCCCACAACGTTCCTGATCACACACCTGCCACAGGTCACATTGCAGGGTGGTTCAGCTGGGCTTTAAAGGATTGAAACTATTCTGACTGCCACCCCAAAATCATCTGCTGCTCACAGGGCAGAGATTGAAAATAGGATGCTTCTGTTCCCTGAACTTCATTTGCTCCTTAGACATCAGGAAGCTGGAGGCTGTTCATGGCTCTGTGGCACGCTTGAGGCATTTCAGACACCCTCCTGAACAATCCCGCGCTTTAGGGCTAGGCTGCCTCTGGGAGGGAAAGAAGATGCACGGTGGCGTCACAAATACCACCCACTCATGACAACAAAATGCAGTATCACACATAGCAGATTAGGTATACAGTTGTTCATTTGTGAAAGGTCGCTGAAACACACAACACTGTTGTTATTTAATTGCTGTCACTAACCCTTCACCTCATAAAGAAATCAAAGTGAACTTTCTCACTTTCTTTTCAGGTTTCTGTTAAAGCAATTAACTACCAGGCAAAAAGCTTTGAAATTGCTGCAAGCTCCTTGAGGAGAGGCTATGACTATGTTGCAAGCGTAAGGTGTAACTATACAGACTACCCGGCCTATTGGAGTGAATGGAGTGAAGAAGTTGAATTTCACTATGGTAAGTATCGTAACAAATAGCAGCTTGGTAAAAGTATGGTATAGTTTCATAAACCATATCATATATACCCCGCTGCTCTCCTCTCAGAGGAGAGTTACGGAATCATCATCTTCATCCTTTTGAATGTATTGTGGATACATCTGTAAAGGCTTCCAAAGGGGCATAAGAAGGCAACTCCTGGGGAAACTAAGGAAGAGAAGACTAAGGGGAGTTGGATTATTTGGCCTTGTGGAAAAAAAGGTTGAAAGGGGATGTGTTTACTCTCTATAAATATTTCATGAAGTAGACACCAGGGAAGGGGAAGAGACATTTAATTTAAAGAAGAGCATTGACGTAAGAGCAAGTGGGTATAAATGAACAAGAGATACTTGGGCTGCAAATGAAGTGATACTTTAACCATCAGAGGGCTGAGGGTTTCTAAAAATCTCTGAAGAGCAACAGAGAGGACAAGAAGCATAGCTGCACTACAGCGGAGATGATAATGCTGTTTTAGGGACTGTGTGACAGGTTTGTCCCCGAGAGCTGACAAATGGCCTCATAGTATATGCTGGCTCTCCCAGCTCCTGACGCTCACAGTAACTGACTGCAGTAGCTGCATCGACCTTTCAGACATGCCACACACCACTGCCACGGGCAGCTGTGTATGTTCTGTTGTTTATCTGCTGGAGGCTTTATTTTATGTCCTCTAAAGGAGCATTTTTTTAAGGTGCAAAAGAAGAGCAATGAATTTGGTATTGCCAGTACTTGTATTTATATGCACAGATACATGTGAATGTATATGTTTATTTAACAGATTACCAAGTAACAACCGAAGACATTCTGCATATGGCTGTTCCCATATCCTGCATACTGGTCATGGCAGTATCTGTAATTTGTTACTTCTGTTTTACCAAGTATGTATCGTACTGTTCACAGGTTTTATAGAGTAGCATTTTGCAAAGATAACGGTATTGCTATTGATTAGCTGAATCTCTAGTAGTACAGGAATCTAATGTTTCGGTTTTTCTCAGCACCTTTATCTTGCTCTCTGTGAGCAAACATTTTATAAACACGAATCAGTTGCACCCTGTCATTTTCTGAATAGATAACTGAATATTCTCTATTAATCTTACTCGAATGGGCTTGTTACAGCGCCCAAAACAGGCTGCAGTTATGGGGTTTGTCAGTTTTGGACCCCAGTCTTTGCTGGAGTTCCAGTAATGATGGTTAAATATCTGTATTTCTTTTTAATTTATTTTAGTGGTAATGTGAAAGTGAGATCCTATCTGTTTTGCACATCATTTCAAACATGATTAGAAGAACATGTGACTGTGGTTGCGCAGAGCAATCACGCACCAAACATACAAACATCTTTGCACTAGTTTAATGAAAAGCAGCACTTGGAGATGCAAAGAAAAGCACTTCCTGTTGCTGCAATGCAGATGGCTAAGAGGGAGAGAAAAACAGAAGAGGGAAGTGTACACTGATGAAGCCAAAATGCAGTCAAAGCAAACTATTTTAATTCTTCCCTTGCAGAATGAAGAAAGAATGGTGGGATCAAATCCCAAATCCAGCAAAGAGCCATTTGGTCGTAAAAAATGTCAAGGTAATTTAAAGGCTTTGCAAAAAACACCTTTTCCTGATCAACAGAAGTAGAATATGTGATAAGTGCTATTGTCTGGCTAGTGCAGGGGATACTAAATACAATTCACATGTGTCCTAAATCTCATTTGTATCTTCATTAGTTTTCAGTTTTGTGCTACATTGATGAAATTAAGTTCCCTTTCCATGATTTAAAGCAGAGTCATATGGAAAACCAAATGTAAGTAAGATAAAGGAAAAAAAACCCCAAACCTCTACTTTACAGCATAAAATAATTTCCTATTACATAAACATTAACTGTCCTTTCCTTTTGACTTCCAAAAGCAGAAGTTGCAAGAACTGTCTGGCTCAAAGTTTGTCAAGCCAAAACTACAAGGGAAAAGATAACATCAGAAATGTTGAGAAATCTTGCAGTTGCCCCAGCAAGTCTGGAGAGTGGTTTCCAAAAGGCAGCAGTGCAGTTTTAACCCCCGAGACAATTCTGGTTGAAGAGTCTGTAGAAATCTGTGAATGTTTAACAGACGTTGAGGCTGAGAGCCAGGAAGAGACTGGTGACCAGATCACCATGTTTGAGCCTTGTGAGAGCAGTGTCAGTGCTTTCAGAGAGCACACGGAACACAATGATGTACTAGCTAGCATGTTTATTGAGCTCCTGGCAGATGAAAACAACATGCAAGACAATAAAGACCCAGACATCATCACAGGTGAGAATAAAACCTTTGAGAAACTTGGGTCAGAAAATCTATCACAGCAAAATCCAAAAGAAAGCACAGCCCAGAGTCAGCAGCCATGTGGTATTTCTCATACAGTCTCCCTTTTCACTAAAGCCTGTCAAGATGACTACAATTGTAGTACAGCCAGCAAGAAGTCAGAACAATCAGAAGAATCCTTTGAATCTGGCTACCAGAGCTCCAGCATAAATTCTGCTTCTCTGGATGCAAGAGATCTCCAACATATGGTTCATCAAAGCCTTTTTCCGTGCAGTTCTGAAAGTCAGCATGACTCGTGTGTCCTGATCCAGGAATCTCCAAACAAACCATCCTTTGGGACCAAAAGAGACAGAATAAGCAACTCTGCACACAAGAGTTTTGATACCTTTCTGTCTCTGTCCATGGGGCTGTGTAGCTCTGCATATAAGAGCTTTGACACCCTTATCTCTCCATCCTTGGAGCCCTGTGGTTCTGCCTACAAGAGTTTTGACACCCTTACGTCTCCGTCTGTGGAGCCCTGTGGTTCTGCCTACAAGAGCTTTGACACCCTTACATCTCCGTCTGTGGAGCCCTGTGGTGCTGCATACAAGAGCTTTGACACCCTTACATCTCCGTCTGTGGAGCCCTGTGGTGCTGCCTACAAGAGCTTTGACACCCTTACATCTCCGTCTGTGGAGCCCTGTGGTGCTGCATACAAGAGCTTTGATACTCTTGTGTCTGCATTCAAGGAACCAAGTAGCTCTGCATATAAGAGCTTTGATACCCTTGTGTCTCAGTCTATGGCTAACAGTGGCCTGACTCTGTGTTTTGAAAATATGTGCTCCTCATCATCATTGACACAGTGTTCAGAGACACCAGAACTTAGCTGCGGAGATCAAATTTATCAACCCCCTAGCAATCAGACATGTTATACTAACTACAGATTGCCCTGCACTGAGCTTGATTTTCAAAACACCTGTTCAGAAGATACTGATTTTCCATCTTTCTCCACACATGCAAATGACAGTGCATCAACTTTCCTACCAGAGGAAGAAATACATAAGCAAGTAACATATCAAAATGTTCAAAAGAAAGCCAATATAATTTCTTGCCCCACTGGACCTCAATCATGTGGTTATCAACCTTTTGATAATGCAGTTAAATGTAATGCTACATACTGTGACAATGACAGTGAGGTTATCGCTAGGTCACTATATGAACCCTTTATTCGTCTTTTGTACAAGAACCTGAGAGAGGCACCTCCAGATACCATAATCTGTGAACCTGACCAGAGGACAGATGACCACGTATGTTTGATTGTACAGGGCTTTGACTGCAGCATTGTCCCAAGTTTAGCCTCTAGTGAGAATGTCACACAGACCAGTGATGGCAGCATTTGGATCATCAACTCTAATCAGCTGTCTAGTGAGAGCAAAGATGAAAATACCAGCAGAGACAAGCAGCTGTTGCATTTTTTAGAGCTGAACTGTCAAGATTTTAACAGTGGAGAAAGAACTATAAAGGGGACAAAAGCTGACGGCTTTAACTATACTGGTAAAGGAATGCAAGAGAGCAGCAGTAACAGACTAAATACTGACTTTCACTGCCGCATGCACAACCACTTGAGGAAACTTGGAAATGCAGGGGAAAATAAAGAGGTGATGGTAGGCAGGAGGTGTGGCTCAGCAGCTAGCTTACCAGAAGAATCACTGGACAGCATTGGGCTAAATTTAGAAAGAAAAACCGCAGAGCCCCTGGAGCTCCTGGTCTCAGACAGGCTGACACCTCTTTTTGTAGATAATTGCTGTCCTGATTCTCACAGCATTCACAGTGAGGGTTCCATACTGGCACCTGCAGTTAAGAAAAGACCAGTAGAACTATTGAGGGAAAACAACAGGAAGAATGAGAAAAAAATGAAACTTGTACAAGCCCTTGCACAGGAGGACAACTGCTACATGAAGGTAGCCTAGCCACACTTGCCAAGACTGAACCAAACCAGTCTTTGGAAATAAACTGTATGGCAAATTGAGATGTTGCTTGTTCTTCCAATCTTGCCTGAAGTGAGGGCTGCTACACTTCAGACATGGATTCAGAGGGTTGTAACACTCGTGCCTGCTGCAGGGCTGGCAACTGGTGTGTGATGCAGGCGCCTGGGCAGCAGCAGGGGTTAGCACTAACAGTTGCACCTACAACTCTGTCCGGGGGCGAAGCCGGAGCTAAAGCTTCTCTGGCCGTGATTGCTCTGTAGAAGTCAGCAGCAGCTGCATAAAGTAGGTGTTCTTAGTACAGCTCCTGTGGCTGTTGCCCTGGCTCTGTATGTTGCTTGGGGAGCACAAAAGGTGATGTGGAAGGTGCTGCCACACCTGGAAGTGGGATGTAGGTGCAGGTCAAAGGGGAAGTGACTGACTTGCACTGACAGCATCACACAGCTTCCATAATTTATGGGGGGGGGGATATCCTGTGTGCCTAGCCCCAGCATGGGGTATATGTTTCTATACTTGCTCAATCAAGACCTGAAATAAAGATTACTGTAATTTGGGCTTAAGCAATGCTGTTATTGATGATTAGTTTCTTATTCTGTAGAAGCAAGCAGTTATTTCATACTTCTACTGCTGTAAATGGAATTAGACATTTCTAAGTAGTGTTTTCCTAGAAAGTTTATCCAGTTTATGGTCAGATTCCCTAAATTGATGGATCGGTTTTTTTGGCTTCTTGTTCTGTCCAATCAGAATGGGAATTATGCCTGCAGCTTTAAGGCAGCATATACTTCTTATTGGATAATTGTTCCAGAAGTTTTACTCATGACTCTGAACTTTTCTAGAGCATTACCATATATTTTGGTATGGTAAATTGCATCCTACTATGCTGGCAGTGGCACAAAATAGTTAAGAACCGTTAAAGTAATTTTATGTGTATTAAAATATGTATGTGTATTCTCATTATTTAGAAAACCCTATTTGCATTGCCATTCATAAGGAAGGAAACCATAATGCTAAGCACAGAAAGTGGTTTAACGTGCTTTGTAAGTAAGATTTTTGTACCGCAAATCTCTCTTCAAAGTTCAGGTTGGCCAAGTGGTAAAGGTATCTATGCATCAATTTTGCAGCGGTAAAAAAGGGTATGTAAGCCCTGGAAGGAGACTCACAGTGAAGCCGTCTGTATTTAGATGTGATAGTTAATATTTGTATGGGCACTGGTTTGTAGCTCACTTTCACCAAGGTGGTGGTTAGTGAAAGACCTTAATGCTTGTAGCTAAGGTGCTGATGAACATGTTATTTATTTGTTTTTACTGCAAATATCAGGTTGAATTTTATTTGCACTCAGGTGAGGTTTAATTCTATCAGAAATACTCATTCTTTGGATGAGAGCAGTTACTGCTGTAGTTACCATCAGCACAAATTCTGTGAAGTGGCAAGGCTGTGGGGCAGACAGATGAAGAGGCCTTCCAGGACCCATCAGCAAAACCTGCACTGAAATGGTGGAACAGGAAGATACATAGAGGCCATGGTCTGCCTCATGAGTAAGCCGACTCACTTCCCTAAATCCAAGCAAAGTCAAGTTTAAGCAAGAACCCACACCTAGTTACTGCAGCTACCCGGAATGGGTTACTCACTGTTTACTGTGTAGCACAGGGCTGTTAAGGGAGGTGCAGGGACAGCAGAGGTGCTTTGTTCCCCTTCTGCTCCTGCGCTCTTCCTTGTGCTCTTTGTGAAATCCTCCTGGAAGGCTTGCCCTTGGCTGGAGCAGCCAGGAGAGGTCTGCTCAGGCCAGGTTTGGAAAGCTGTTCGCTGCAGCACTTCTCTGTTGAGCCCCAGCTTGGTTCTGGCTTTTTTTCTTCTACATAGCTATGCCCTCCTGTCTGCTCACTTCCACTGGATGGCTTTCTCTGGGGGGGTATTCTTCCCGTTCTCTCCCTTCAGTATTTCTTTGGTGAAATCAAACTGTAACTCTTTGAGAAGGGGGACCCCTATTCCTATGCCTTTGCATAATGCAAAACTGGCGATAAATACCAGGGCTGGGCGGCTGGCCAGCTCACCCCTGTCCTGCGACAGGCACGGTGCCTGACTGCAGTGGGACCTACGTTCACGTTCCATCCTCCACTGCCTCCGCTTTCGCCATGTGGAGCTATAACCAGGCTGGAGAACACAGGTGGGTTTCAAATGACAGGTTTCTGGCCTAAGAGGATGATCTGCCCAGAGCGCGTGGGAGTTCTGACTTTGGGCTGGCTCCCAGGGCTGCCAGCGAGCTGTACCAGCCCGAGCCGCACCTCCTGCGGAGCAGCCTGTGCTTGCAGAGGCAGCTTACCCTCCCGAGAGAGGAACGTCATTCCTGAAGGCTGGGACCCTCCAGGCATGTCCTTTTTAGCTAGTGGAGGGCTCCTACCAGGACAGAGAATTACTGATCGTAGTAAGTGTATTTTCAGTGTTTTTCAGTTTTGTTTTATAAGACTGAAGTGCAAGTGGAGGCTTGTGCCAAGTTAGCCTAGTTACAGTGCCATTTATTACTCACTTACAATCACTTCACCTCATCTTTCTCACCTGGCTGCCTACCAGGTATTAGCAACCTGACTCACCATGAGCGAAATGGATTCCTGAGAAAAGCAGGTGTATTCCCAGTTCAGGAGGAGCTAACTCTGATAACACTGCTTTTCCTTTGCAGAGAATGCCACAGCCTTGCCTTCTTTTCTTTCTCTTCTTTCTGAACGGTGTTAGCTCCTTGGAAATACGCACCTGTACAGAACAGGAGTTGGCAAATTCCTATCAATCACGGCGTTTGTCATTGCCTGTGGAAAACTAGCAATAGCCACAAGACGAGGGTGAGACTAGTATGGAGCAGGAGATTGAGGATGTGGGGTCAAGTTCTTGGGGGGAGGGACAAGTTAATTTAGGGTGAGGGCAGGGTCAGCTTTTTAAATAGTTTGTCTCTGCATCTTGCTTTGGGACCCTACATTGTTCAGGCAGGGTGCAAGGATGTCCAAGTGCTTATCCATCATGAGCTACCAGCTTTATCTAAGAAAACAAGTTCTTTTAGATGTTGCATTCTAGTAGTGACATGGCCAAAGGAACAAAGGGTGAGAGAAGCAAATGAGGGGGTTGTGACTTCCAAAGCCCCGCTCCATAATGTTTACCTCCGACTGTGGAATTATGTGACAAAACTCCTTGGTGTATAGAGACTGAGAGGACAGTTTGCTTTCTCCTAGCCATGTCTTTTCTGTAGAAAACTTAGGGAGCATGATTTATGCTGTTTGTATTCTAGCTCTGACAGAGGTGCTTCTAAAGTGTGTAATTTTGCATATAGTTGCTTTCACAAAGAATGGGTGTTTTTGACTAATTCTCAGGGGAACTGTGCCTGTGCAATGCGCAGGCAGGCACACACACACACACGCACAGAGAGATCATTTCACGTCCTCTGCGGATTGCTGAGTACAACGTCTGCCCCACGCTCCCACATGGCGATGTATCATGATTACACATTACCCGGAATTTCAGTTTTTTTCACCACACTGCTATAACTGAGGCAGCCATGTCATGCCGCTAGCTTTTCATCGGGTATTGCAGCCACGGCCCGCAGCCCTCAAGGCCTCTCTGACTGAACTGCGGTGACAAGGTCGGAAGCCCAGCAGCAGCTCGGCATGAACTTGCTGACAACCAGAGCAATGAGACTGATGAACCGGTCTGGTTTTCAGCTGCAGGACTATTGTCTCAAAGCAGATTGCTCTGAAACAAAGGAAAAAAACCAGCTGAGTGAGGAAGAGGGCACTTTCCAGGTACCTCACTAACACACTTAACCAAAGTTAAAGCTTATTAAATTGCCATACCTTGGTGTGTTTTCCCAGAGTACCTAGTAACAGCCATCAGCAGCGCTGCTAAGTCCTGACTATTCTCATTCCTTTGACAAGCTGAGCAAGCAATGTTGAGAGGAGCTTTACATCTCTGCTGTACTCTGTCCAAAGGTGCTTTGGTCTCTTTTTCCCTTGTGCTCTCCTGCTTCCATCCTGTTCCTTCTGTGGCTTTCTACAACATGGAAATTTCCACACAGCTGCCTTCTACCTCCAGCAAGACCGCAAAATGAAAGAGAAGAAAAACTGGCTGCAGCCCTCGATGAACAGAGTGGGGAACTGACTGCTGTGGCGCATTTAGCTGCACAGGGGGGAGGAGCAGCTGTTTACTTCTTTTTTTTGCTCTTAGCCAGAATACTTTCTATAAAACTCTGACCATCTGTGCAGGAGACCTAAAATTCTGTATTCTGAATGTAGAGAGGCAATTGTAATGGCAAGATTTGATACAGTACCAGCTTGTGACCTGCAGCCTGGCTTTGATAGAGGGGTGACTGTGCTAGACCTGCCCCAGTCCATGGAGTGCAGCAGGCGTCCTAAGGAGCTGCTGCTGTCCCAGTGCAGCGACGGATCAGCCGCTTCCATGGTCCTGTCTGTGCTCAACTGTGTAAGAGCAGGGCATTCACAGCAGCGTGGTGTTTGTCCTCTGCTTGAAGCTACCAAGCTGGTGACTAACATATCACTGGGACTTTCCTACTTGCTGCTGTTTCCCCAGCTCTTAGACATGGGGGAATTTGCCATAAGCTGAAGAGTTTGAGGTTGGCTGCTTCTCCCCAGCTCAGCCACTGCTGGTTTCACTTGCAGTGAGCCACCCACACAGTAACAAGAATTGTGACAGGGTGAGAAAGCACTGGACTGCCTTCTGGGGGTAGAATTTCCATACCTGGCTCAGGGTTGTAAACAGTCCCCAGTTCTTGTCTTGATGCTCTAGAGAGTTGCTGTGAGAACCAGGTCTGCGCTGGCCATGGTTGGCCCTGAAGTTAGTGCTCTTGGCCCTTGGTGGGCAGCCTGGAGAGGTCTCGAGGAGCTGGCTCTGGCAGGTTCATGCTGTGCAGCATTCACTAACCAATGGATGTGTCTGACAGGCTCTGGGCTTAAAGGTTATGCAGGGCAGTTCATTGCTGGGTGGTCTGC